AGGTTTTTTAATTTCTCGTTTTTTATTGGCTACGTTCCCTGTCTCTTGAAATTTTTTTACTAACTCTAGAACATACTTCCTTCTGACATGTCAATCTTGATGGTGTTCATTAAAAAGCTGAGCTGTTCTATTCTCACATTTATTGTTTGTTTATAAAGTAAAGCTAAATGATATCTACCCTTTCCGCAATGGAACAAACCAGTGTTTAATTTTCAAAAACACGATTAAATAAACTACCAACCAACGCTTTCAAATAATACTAGAAAATAATTTGGAATCCATTAATTTTACGTTCATTGTGTGTGTATAGCATTCATTTCTGTTTTTTACAATTGTGTTTTTTTATGAAAGTGATAACAAATCGCCAAAACCAATGTAACGCAAGAAATACTAAATTTATACCATTGGCGTACTTAACTCGAATGACTGACATTTTTACCGTTACTAATTGTTTGTACATNTTTACTTGCATACAAGTAAATCAGTATATTTTCAACGTAAAGCTATTAACGAAGAAGAGCAGTAGTGAACATAAAGTTATAGTTTTTTTATTTTCGTAATACAAATAGCAACGAATTCAGTAAAATAGTTAAAGCAGTACGTTCTCTTGTTTTATTCGCCTTAATTCAACTGGAGTTTGTATTGATACTGTGTAAAATTTATCTTCAAAGTCCCGCTGGTAAAATAATTCAACGGATTAAAATTGGGTAGATGAAATGGCCAACCTAGCGCTCCTAAGCATTCTTTATTTCATTATAGATTGGTGATAAGTGATTAACCAGTATTGTACTGTGCATTATTTTCTTTTAACCGCTAATGAATTTGTCGATCAAAATGTGGATGATCTCCACAAAAAAAAAAACAAAATAATTAATAAACAATGCATGTCCCAAATAAATAGTAAGAAATGTTTTTGATAGATTTTTGGAGGCACCCTTTAAATTTATCATCATTATTTATTATTTCGAAAAAGCACAGTCTCAGTAGCGTACTTTTTTATAACTTTTTTCGTAGGTACTCGAAATTAAATTCACAAAATTTTAACGTACTACAGTTCAAAAATGAAAAGTTTGAAGAATTAATCTATTTTTTAAAGAGGAATTTGTGAGATTACTTTATATATTTTCAAGTTAAAAAAAATTTATTATTATTATTTATATGAGAATACATGATTTAATAATTAAAAATATAATTGTTTGTATATTTTTCCGTTACAAGCGATAAAATGAAAGTAGGGTAAACAAGTGTGTCGGGGTCAATGGAGTAAGAAAACATAAAAATAGAATAACGGAACTTGACGTTATGAATAAAAAAATGTAATTATCAATAATTTCGAAAATATTCCATTATTCAATTAGTGTTCTTTTCATAGTCTTTAAAATATCGGCTAAGCCGATTATTTGTAATCCGTTCGATACTCCCACATTTCTTTTACAACTTTTGAAATCCAAATCTCCATCTGTTGTTTGCAAAGTAAAATAGACAACGCCATCTATTATTAAAAACTGTACTAGAAAGTTATTTGAATATTTACCTGTGAAAGTTACCTACCTTTTAATTTTTTTACTATAAAAATAAATACACATTATTTGATAAACATATAGTCGGCTTTTTGTAGTATTTTAATGGAGAAAGTTAAACATTTTTTAAGAGATAACGATAACACTGGGTTATTATTGTAGTGCAGGTCGATATTAGTACGCAATTTATCGTACTTTACACTTTGAGCGACTTTGAAATGTCCGCGTGCGTTGAATGATAATTTTAATACCCAGTAGCGGGACCATCATTTTAAATTACGTTCGGTACATACATACTTGACCACATATGATGTAGGTATATATACGTCATATATGTTTACACGTAATATATCTGTGTAGAGCTTTTTATCATCTAAATGATATATAGACTTAAGATTTTAGTATCTGGAATCTTATTGGGCAGTGAAGCAGTGGCGGATCAGGTGGATTTGAGGAGGATACATATCAATTTATATAAACATTTTTTAGTTAGTTATTGTTAATTGAAATATAGTTTTGTGTCATGGTTTGCTTGTGTTTTGCAGCAACAACTGGTGGAAACTGAGGTAGTAATGTTTTTATAAAAAAAAAAGATTACTGTTTTTAAATGATTTCTGGGCTCATAAAAAGAGGTGATGAAAAGATTTCGAACGAAATTTGCGAAATAAGGAATTAAAATATAGGTTGCTTACTCTGGTCGTGTTTGGATAATGAAGAAAACGATCCATACCGTTTTTTCAGGGATGATTTCTGAGGCCTATTTTGTAATGAAGAAATTTCGTATGAAATTTACGAAATATTGAATTAAAATATGGGTGGCCGACAGTGGGGTCTTCAAAAGGGTTGCACATATGTGTATTTTTTTATTATTGTTATAATTCTATGGACCACCTAGCCGGGTGTCTTGGCCGGCGGATTTCGATCTGCCGAGGACGTAGGCTGGAATTTGGATGGGTGACCTAAGGCAGGCTCGGGGACGTGGCTGTAGCAGCCTACCGAGACCTGGGTCGCCCAACAATTGACGCATGCGTGTGGTCCCCGATAAATGGTAATGAGAACAGAGCAAAGAAAATCTCTGTAATTCAAGACCATGCTATCATACATAAACTGTACGAAACTTTGCCACCAAGCCACCCGTGTAGTAAATAGGATAGTTTGAAGAAAAGTACTCGAGTAATGAAGGAGGGTGTACAAGGGGCCTAATAAGGCCTAAGTGCCGCGGTGGAAAAACAATTCCACCACCCTCCGACATACATACATACATACATACATACATACATACATACATACATACATAATTATGGTGTTACTATCAAATTAAAATTTAAATAAAGATAGATGTGTAATAGATGTAACATGTCCAGAAATAAACGTAACATGCTCTATTGATATAGGTACAGTATAATTTTGTGAAAAATAAAAAAACTCCTCATTGTATTTATTATAGTTGATGACGATATCTTAGTATGGGTAACCCCTATTTTAATTTTTTACATTGCAAATTTCGTATGGAATCTTTTCCTCCCAAAAGTTCTACATGTGGGTCTACAAATCATCCTCTAAAAACCTCTTTCTTCATTATGACCAAAAAACAACTTTAATTTTACCTAATATTAAATACATGTCGAAGTTATGTCAAAATTAGATATAATAATATATTTATTTATTTATTTTTATTTATTTTTTAGTTTTATTTTAAATTACGATATCCAACGGGCAATGCCCAGTTACAGGATAAGGTTACAAACTAAAAAAAAGTAATAAAAATAGGTGAAAGAGATAACAATTATTCTTAAAACAAAATAAATACCAAAACATAATATCTAAACAAACAGGTAACAGACAGATAATATTAAAACAGTATAAAACAATACAAACAAATGCAAAAACGTACTTATACAAACATAAAATTTAAAGTAACACTTTTTTAATTTGAATGATACTGGAACAAAGTACCTATATCTATACGAGATTCAATTTCAGAATAACCAATAATTATTTGGTGAAAAGGAGACGCTTTATATAAATTAGTACGATGATGTTTGATCGCGAAAAGGTGTAAATGTGGGGTATAAGCGCTAGGAATAGCAAAATCAATCATTTGTTATACAGGGTGTTCCTAAATAAGTGTTGCAACGGAAAATTGTAAATTCCTGTTGAAAAGAGAAACATTTTTTCCCTCTTCCATTTTTCTCTTTGGGCTTTCATTTTCGAGATACACTGTGTCAAAACTTTTTTTCAGATTTTTGCCAATATCTTAGGAACCGTTTGAACTACAGGACTGAGTTTTTGTACACACATTACCCCTATTAATAGCTACTTGTTGCAAACGTTGTTAAATTTAGTTAAAATTGTTAATTATTACTATCAATCTTTTGAATTACAAAAGATTTTGGAAACGTTAGCAAAATGTTTGTTTATGTTTATAAAAAGTCATTTTTCTTGAAAACGGTTGACTTTAGAGCAATGTACCAAGAGAAATCTTTTTATGTAAAATTCATTGGCGCTTCAGAATTTGCTGTCAAATATCAATTTCTCCAGTGGCGTAAAAGTTAGGGGGAAAACCCTTACGATACCTTAAAATCTCCACCACTGGCACGGCACGTTCAATGAATTCGAGAAGTGTGTGAAAAAGTAGCTATTAATAGTGGTAATACGTGTACAAAAACTCAGTCCTGTAGTTCAAACGGTTCCTAAGATATTGGCAAAAAATTAAAAAAAAAATAAAGTTTTGACACCGTGTATCTCGAAAACGAAAGCCCGGAGAGAAAATTGGAAGAGGAAAAGAATGTTTCTTTTTTCAAGAGGAATTTACAGTGTTCCGTTGCGATACTTATTTAGGAACATCCTGTATATCTTCACATATAATCTTATTATTCAAGATCTTATACAAGAAAATAACAGAATTTAACTCATATTGAAAAATGCTTCCTGAGGAAATCCTTGAGGAGGATGCTGGCCATCAATTTTCGTAAAATTGCACATATTTCGAACAATAAATCCTAAACTTTTGTAGGCATTCATTACCACAATTTCAATATAATTATTAATAAAATTCATGTATATAGGGACACAACAGTTACATAGCGTATACCTACTACAACTACTGGAATAAGGTTAAAAAATTATGTATGTAATAAAATTATAAAGCTATTTACGGATATCTTAAAAAATAAATGAATGCGTCTCTTTTATCCCAAATTCCCTCCGGTGTATTGAGAAATAAAAAAACTTTACGTAGCCAATGGGTTAATATACTTTTTTATACAATTTCAGTTTCTTTCCGTTTCAGAAACTATGCATTAATTTTAATTTGAAAACTTTGCATTAACTTCTCAAATAATTTTATAAACTAACTGTATACCTGTTTTATTAAGTACCTACTAATTAATTATTATTATTGAAGCCCCTATCTGCACTCGCTCCCACGTCTCTGCGTGAGAAAAGGAACAACTATGCCTTTCTTCTTCGTCGGCGAATGTGTAGATTTAGATAAAGTATCTCCACAGACTGCTGTTTACCGGACACGAATTTTCTAAAAATATTCATTTATACTCCAAAAAATTATAATTTCTGTGCCGTTCTAAGTTACTAATGTGAAATGTAAGTAATATTTTACTGTAATATCCTGTTATTTAAGTAATTATCACATGCGTTTTTAAACTTTAATTAGCCTGCAGCCTTGCTATCAATTTTCATTGTTTTTCATACAATTTATACATGAGCTTGCGCACGTAAAAAATATCTATGCTGTTTGCTGGATTGCCTGACCTTGTGTATTTTGACTTTCTTTAACGGGCAGGCGAACGAATACTAATCGATGAACTGACGCCGTTTGGCCACTATCAAGTATCAATCTTTCACTAAAATGGGCATGGACTCCTGAAACATGCGCTGCTAAGTCGTCCTTATTGATTGCTTTCTTTTTCTTCTTATAATTCGTCCAATTACTGAAGATAAAAACAAACTGTTTACATTTTAATAGCATACTTTATTGTTTTTTTTTAATCTCGGGAGTTGACAGCCTTGTTCCGTGGTCTATGATACATATTGACACTAGATGGAGCTGTGAAAGTCAAGGTGAAAGGTCATTCAATCAAATGTGCTACGCTGTAAAAAGGTAGGGATTTCTTTTATTGTATTACATATTTTTAAATTAATATTTTTATTTGCTACTTGCCGCACAAAATTGAAGCTTAAAATTTGACAGTAGATAACACATTAAATAATGTTTTTGTATACAAAGATTTAATTTAATTTAGCGTAAATGTTTTTGTATTTTCTTTAAATATTATAATATAATAAATTTTTGTGGTAGAATATAATTTTGTCGGAAGACAGCAAACTCAGATACCTAGGTACTTATTATAAAACATAGGTATAACTAGAATTTTTTTTTTATAAATTTTTGATTTTGATAGAATTATGCCTGAAAAAAAATCATCAACAATTTAAAGAAGTATAGAAATTATTATAAATTTCATTTGTTTACCCTAAAATTTAAGGAGTGGTATTTAGAAAGGACAAAAATACGTCCAGTAGGACGATATGTACAGGGTGTCTAAAACTCGATAGTATGGTTCTACTGTGAGGATACAAAAAATAAAATTTGGAACACGTGGTGTTAATGGGATGAGGTAAGCTCCATTTTCAATCAAAAGTGTTATTTTTGGGATTTGACAGAAACAACTAATGACGTCATCAATTATATTTTTTCCAGAAACATACCCACATTTTTTTCCTGTTAAAAACTCTCTTTTTTCTAATAAACTTTTATAAGAGAAATTTTTCTGTATTACTTTCCGTTTAAAAGTTATAAGCAATATCGTTCTAAAGAGTCTCAAAAGAAATACCACCTAAAAATTACATTAGCGGTGGTAGTCGTTGGAAAATAATTGAATGTTCGTTGTTTAAAGTGCATAAATGTCATTAAGAATAAATAAAAAGATTAAACTCGATAATTCTTTAATACAGATAAAACAAAAGGTGATGATGATAACAATATAACTAAACTTAAAAATGAAGCAAACGCTTTTATACTATACAGGGTGAGTCATTAATAATGGTACACAGCTTAAATATTGTTCAAAATATAGTGATTGAGCCAAACATGCCTTAATCAATTATTGCTCCTTTTCGTTCTACAGGGTGTTAAAGTTGAAAAAATAATTTCCTTTTTTATCTATATTTTAAGTATGTATGGACCGATTGTTTTAA